TGTGATTAAGACTTGAATAAGGGATGCCATGTGAGCAGGGGTGACGTGTGTGTTTGTGTGTGTGTATGTGTGTGTGTGTGTAACTCATGTTGTGGGAAGGGACAGGCCTTTTCGACTTCCCCTGGCTCACAGATGAATGTAAGGACTAGAGGCAGAGCCATCCTTCTGACCAGGAGACAACCCTGCCCTGCTCATCTCTGGAAAGTTGGTGAGAAAGAAACCCCCAGCTCTTAATCTCTGATCCAACAACTTAGAACAACGCCCAAGAAACGCATGCACAAATGTATGTGACAAATCTCTAGGTGGGGCAGAGCATTCATGCTTTTCAAAGATAAATGGCATAACACGTTTTTCCAAAACAGATGAGGACCTTGCTAGCTCCTTGAAACACAGCTTTGGGAGCTCTAAAAACATTTAACATTCCCAGAACCTCAAGCCGTGACTCAGGCCACTTGTCCCTAAGTCACCATCCAACCAAGGCCTATAGGTCCCAGGCCACCCCTGCCATCCACCCACAGGTAAGAACCCATTCCTTTTCCCCAAGCCCATCACTCCCACCAGGCTGCAAAGCCTCATGCAGTGTCAAGCTCGGAACTCCAGGTCTCAGGAGCCCCAAAAGAAAGAATTGCAGTGCAGCCCCTCAGCTCCAGCATCAAAACATATGGAGAAAGCAAAGAGGTGCTGGTGTCCTATTGAGAAAAATGAGATTTACAGTCATGAACCACTATGCGCAGTTTTAAACTATGAAATTACTCAAAAAAGAAAGAATAGAAACTGCTGCTTATGAGCTTGGAGGACTGTGACTTCTTAGGTACAACAACGCAACTGCCAGCAACAAGAAGAAAAAAAAAATACTGGATTTCAACAAAACTAAATTTTATGCTTCAAGGACAGAACGTGGAAATATAGCTCTGTTGCTAAAACTCCTTAAGATACAATCTTCCCCTCTTCCTAAAGCCCCAGCAACAAGCCCCAGTTCTACCTAAGTTTACCTGGGGTAACCTATGGGTTTATTGGGCTTACTTCCAGAGAGATGGGTGAGAGGTTATGGGAAGGAGCTGGGTGACTAACTGGGGCAGCTGCCCTGGAGGCCTGCACCCAGCAGGGATAACGGCTGCCCCCTGGCTATGCAGATGAAGTCCCCCTCCCTTCAGCCTTCTACACTAACACCCTCCCACCCTCCCCCAATACCCTAAGGTCATTGCAATTAGGCAGGATTGCGTACAGCTGGCTTGGAGGGCGTGGCTGGATACCAGGTGAGGGTCCCCTGACCCTCCCTGCCCCCTTCTCTCGGAGGGAAGTAAAAGTCAGCAGGCCCAGAGGTGAGGATGCTTTGTGAGATGACCTCCTGAAGACGGTGGAAGGACGCCCAGTACAACGCGCACAAGAGAAACTATTGTTCAAGTCACATAGCTGGTGAGGAAGGAACCTGTACCCAGAATGCAAGGTAATTTCCTACAGCTCAACACTGAAAACAGAAGCCATTAGGCACGTGCGAAAACATCAGACAGGAGCTGCAAGACAGGACTCCTTGCCCAGTGGGCCAGTCTTCAAATAGAGACAACATCACATTGGATCAGGACTCGGGGCAGTGGGAGGCCCCATCTACAGCTGGGAAATGTGGCATCCATACAAATATTTGCCCATGGATGCTAATGAGAGTGTTACCCATCAGGTGAAAAGAAGAAACCCAAGTGGCATCCATTAACTAACAGTTGTATAAACAGAATGTGACATATCCACGTGGTGGAATATTATTTTGCTATTAAAAGGAATGCCACGTGGGTTAACCTTGAAAACATGCTAACAGAAGAACACTATAATTTCATTTAATGGGTCTAGGATAGGCAGATTCATGCAGAGAATGAACAGCGATGATGGCTGTAATATCTGTGGATATGCTAAAAGCCACGAAGCTAGAGTTTTAGCCTGTGAGTCATATTAAAAGAGAGAGAGAGAGAGAGAGAGAGAGAGAGCCAGTGAGATGGTTCAGCAAGTAAAAGGCATTTGTTGCACAAGCCAATGTAATCCCTGAAACCCATGGAAAAGTGGAGGGAGAGAGACCTCACAGACATGCATTCCGACCGCCCCCCCCAAAAAAACTGTGGTACATGTGTGCATATCACACAGACACACACACACACATAAAAATAAAGGTTTTTTTTTAATTAAGAGAAAATGTTTGCATTGACCACAAAGCTTTCCTAGAAGAGTGAGGAAAAGAAAAAGGAATCTTTTCACAATACCCTAAAAAAAATAACAAATCTTTCTTTTGTTTTGGTTTGGTTTTTGGTTTTTTCGAGACAGGGTTTCTCTGTGTAGCCTTGGCTGCCTTGGACTCGCCTTGTAGACCAGGCTGGCCTCCAATTCACAGCGATCTGCCTGCCCCTGTCTCCCTGAGTGCTGCGATTAGAGGCGTGTATCCCCACAGCCAGAATTTTTTTTTTTTTTTTGCGGGGAGTTGGGGGAGGAGCAAAGATCAAATCTTAACAGTTTCCAAACATGCATTGCTCTGTGATTTTTACCACTGTAGGGGCATCAGAGAAAAGACTCAACAGCGCACGTTGATCCAGGGTGGCCTCTCCGTACTAATCTGGAAAAACGGTGACTGAACGTGTGAAGCGGCTGGCAGTACAACACAGAGAGAAAACTCGAACACCTGGAGACCGCCATCTCTTAACAGTGAAAAGAACGTAACAGAGGCATGAGCCGGTAGGCCGCAGTGCGACTGTCTGTCCTTATCAAGTCTTAGGACTGTGCCTTACCCCTTGGGTTACGCTATACATGACCTGAAGCACGGTAGGCTCGCACCAGCGTCACCGCGAATACGTAACGTGTCCCACGTCCACACCGTGACGGCTGTGACGTCACGAGGTGCGGGTCCTCTTCCTGCTCTGTTGTAACCCACGGGACTGTCATCCGCACCCTGTGACTGTGTGTGTGGCCCTACCTTGTTTTCTGCTGCTTCGATAAAATCCTGACCAAAAGCACCGGGAGGACGAAGAGGATTTGTGTGTCTCACGTGTCCTGATGACTCGGGGGAACCCAGGGCAGGACCGCAAGCAGCAGAGGCAGGAGCCACGGGAGGGACGCTGCTTACTGGCTTACCCTCCGTGGCTTCCTCGGTTTGCTTTCTTCTACCTCCCAGGATCACGGGCTCAGTGGTAGCACTGCCCAGAATGGGCCGGGCCCTCCCACAGCAATCGCTAATCAAGCAAATGCCCCAAAGATGTGCCCACAGGCCAACCTGATGGGGGCAGCGCCCCACCTGTGGTTCCCTTCTCTCAGGTCACGCCAGGTTTACAGAACCAACCGGCACAAGGAAGGCAGACTGGCACTCGTGTCCGCAGCGCATACGCCAAGACAGGAACGAACAGAGCGCAGCACAGGCTCTGGGTGAGGATGACCCGCAAATTCGTGAACTGCTCCACGCTTTTCATTTTCCTCAGTGGTGCAGCCACTGAGACGTTGCTCTCCCCTCTGGAATAAGCCCACCCACACGCGGGCAAGAAACTAATCAAACTCTGGACCGCACAAAAAGAAGATACGAAGAGGGTGTTATAGCGGGAGAGGAGGAGAACGATGGAGGAATTGGGGTGTGTGAAAATGACTAAAATTTATTATATAAATATATGAAACGATCAAACAATAAAAGGAAAAATAAGTCAAAGTGGGTTGTTTGTTTGTTTTTATTTATTCTTTTGTGTCTGAGTGTTTTTTCTGCAGCTATGTCCAGGCAGCACATGTGTGTCTGGTGCCTGAGAATGACGGGCTGGCTTTAGATTCGCAGAACTAGAGTTACAGATAGTGTTGTGCAACCTTATGGGTGCTGAGAATTCTACCTGGGCCCTCTGGAAGATCAACCAGTGTTCTCAACTGCTGAGCCATCTGTCCAACCCCTGTAGGTATGTTTGCCTAAATGTTTGTGCACCAATCCATGCAGTGCCATAGGAGACCAGAAGAGGATGTCCTGTCCCCTGAGACTGGAGTTTATGAAAGGTGTGAGTGGCATGTGGGTGTGCTGGCCACTGCACCCAAATCCTCTAGAAGAGCAGCCAGTGCTCTTAACCACTGAGGCATCTCTCCAGCCCTACAAAGGAATGTTTTATTTTTCAAGTATTTTTTAAACTATTTAGTTTATTTATTCATTTCACATCCCAATCATAGCCCCTTCCCTTCTCTCCTCCCAGTCCCACCCTTCCTTCCTCTTTCACTTTCCCTCCCTATCCCCCCTTCCCTACCCCTCAGAAAACAAAAACCACCCACCACCAACCCTCTCCAGCACACCAAGTCACATCAGAACTGAGCACATCCTCTTTCTTGGTGGCCTGGCAAAGCAGGCAACAGAGTCCATGTTAGGGACAGCCCCTACTTCCCTTACTAGGGAGCCCACATGGAAACCAAGCTCCCCATCAGCTACATCTGTGTAAGGGGCTGAGGTCCAGTCCATGCATGGTCCTTGGTTGGTGCTTCAGTTTCCACATCCCTACCCCCTAACCCCTGCCTGACCCAGGTTAGTTGGCTCTGCTGGTCTTCTTGGGGATTTCCCGCCTCCTCCAGGTCCGTCTACCTTTCCCCTCACTCTTCCATAACACCCCCTGAGCTCTGCCCAATGTTTGCCTGTGAGTCTCAGCCTGTTTCCATCCACTGCTGGGTGGAGCCTCTCAAAGGACAGCTATGCTAGGCTCCGGTCTGCAAGCATAGCAGAATGTTGAAAATAAGTGTCAGGGGTTGGCTTGCTCCCTTGGTGTGGGTCTCAGGTTGGGCCAGGCATTGGCTGGACATTCCCTTAGTCCCTGCTCTGTTTTTATTCCTGTACATCTTGTAGCCAGGGTAGCAGAGTAAATTTTGGGTAGAGGTTGGTGTCCCCCTTAAGAACGTGAGGGTTACAGTGCAGGGAGTTCCACAAAGCTGAGTAACCTCCAGCCAGCATAACCACAGCACATGGCATTCTCACTAGAAAGCTACTGACAGAAATTAGACAGCTTCCAAAGCACAGATTCCAGTTTAAATTTTATTTGTATACAAAAATATATTATGATGGGAAAGCTTATTATGACCTCCAACTATATATAAGTAATTACAAAATCTCCATAAAAGCACTTTGAATTATAGACAAGCTATGTTTAAGGAGTATAAACACATTAGATAGATCATCTGTTGGACATGCTGCAGGCAGGTTAGCAAAGTCAGTGTCACTGTCTGAATTGCCTGGAGATAGGCCCAACGGCTAATGTTAGGGTGAGCCTCAGCTCTGTCCCCTCCTGCGACAGATTCTAGTAGCCGACTTTGCCAGGTCCTTGGAGTGCTCCAGAATTTCAACTCTTGTGGCATATGGCTCCCCAAACTCCTTGCTTCACATACCTGAAGAGAGGACACAGAGTGAGTTAGCCCTGCCAGAGGCTCACAACCCCCACGCTTAACCACATCACATAGTCTCAGACGGGCATCAAAAACAAAGCTAATGGCAGGTTCCCCCTGTGCAGTGTATGTCTGGGTAACTGGGATGGCTAGGAGGCAGGCTACAATTTGCATAAAGCAGACAGGCTTGTTACATGGACCTAATACAAATTGTGCTGCAATTAGAATAATCTCTGTCAAAACAGGCCTAGGTCCGATGTAGGTGGTGATGCAACAGTAAGAAAAAAGGGGGCAATAAAACCATCAAGCAAATACAGAGTGAGAGAGTATTAAGCACATGGCTATTTCATGTTCATGACTGTTTCTTAAATTAACCTCTCTCTGGGCTTAAATTTTTAGATTTTTACCTATCCAACAGAGTAAAAACACGAGAGTACTTACTTCCTACTGAAAAATGATCACTTTCACAAAGTAATTAAGAAGCCAGAACAAAAATTCTTCAAGGCTCAGCAAGTCCCCCATGAGGGGAAATGCTGACACCAGCAACTCTGTAGGCTAGGGCTGGGGTCTGGGCTGGGGCTGTTCTTCCTGAAATCCTGTCCTTCTGAAGTAGAGCTTACAGACAGTGTGTCAGGCCCTTCTTCTAACACTCTACCTCCCCATCGCAATTTTGATTTGATATCTTCAGTTTGGGGCCACACAAAATAGCTATCGACAGTGTAATTCCCAAACTCCAAGCGCATATCTGCATAGTGAATCTGGGTCACTGGTGGCATGAGTTTCCCAGGGCACATTGTCTATTTGGCACTCAACTCTTACAAAAAGTCAGACCTCCCTCTCTCAGCAGGCTCTTGATCAAACCTGGGCAAATTACCCTGAGTAGACCCCTCTGGCTTGCTGGAAGAATGCATGTGTGACCAATCCACTCTCTTCCCCCAGGACTGGCAAGCCATCACCTCAGTAAAGCTCTCACTCTCCACTTTCTAAACAGGTCAATGTACGCTGACCCGTTCGGAACAGTTGGGACTGTGCAATTTTCTTGCACATTCTAGCTACAACTCTGGCTACTTTCTTGGCTTTCTGAGCCACTGGGGTCCTATTTCTATACCTAGAGCAACCTTATGATGGAACTTCCTGCCTGTAGGCAAGCTGGGAAACATCACAGCACATTATCAAAAAGGTGTGGCTCAGTGTTCTTTGGTGGATGTTTTAAACACCCAGCATGTACTCACTTGCTAATGTTCTGTCCAGATCGGCAATGAAGTCTTCAAGCTCTTTTGTGTCGCCTAATTTGGCTGCAAAAGAGAAAAGAGTTGAGCTTCCCTCTCGGACACAGTTGATAGGGGATTTTCTCAGGGATTATGGAGTCTCTGGATTACGGAAACCTGTTGTCTTCAGAGGGCTCCTGGGAGTGTGCCCTTAGCTCCACATTTACTTTCATTTCAGCAACTGACCTGGAGGCTGGCTTTAGCATTACCATCCTACCCACCTTCCTACGCTGGAAGATGGGTTTCTCAGTGTCTTAAAAATCTGGAAGACCGTGAGGGGGAGGAATTTGTGTGGTCCTCCAAGGTGACTGACATGTGGGGAAAGCTACAGTTTTGTGTCAAAGTAGAACAGGGACCAGGACAGTCTTACTTGACTCATCACAGAGCTTTTGTCTAGGCGTTGCTGTCTCTGCAGCCAGAGGAATACACTTCCCTTATATATTTTATTTTCTTCTGTATAGTTTGTCATTCATGCTTTCCTTGAAACGCATTGCTAAATATTTTCTTAGTCTTATCGCCTTTGCTGGCTACAAACAGCTCATTGTTCTTAGCTTTCAGGTCCACTCACCACAAGGGGCTTTTTTTTTTTTCTCCTTCAGTGATTTCCACCTCTGGAGGATCAGGTAGCAGATCTGAGCACTGTTTAAGCCCGTCTCTAGAGTGCTCTATCCGTGAGTCCACAGATCCATTACAGAGCGGAGGCTGGACAATGGCTGGGTCCCCAGTGGCTGCTAACATTTACATTGAGAAGGGAATTTAAAAATATCTCTTTCAAGAAAGAGGGAAGTTCTGTTTGAATGCCAGATGGAGACAAGTGATGGAATCTTCACATTTCTTTTAGAGCTGGCTCCATTTTTACTGCACTTTGCAACTATTTTCAGCAAGTTCAACTTTCCTTGGAGGGGGACCTCCTTTTGTTCTCAAAAGGGCATCTGTCCAGTATAACAGAACATTCAGCTCTCTAGATGGTGAGACTTGGCCAGTTCCAAAAACTAAGAACTGGTCCATGAATCTTTAAACCCTCTTTAGTCTATTAATATCTAAGCAGAGACAGGGTGGAGCTGTTGTTTTGAATCCTGTTCATTTTAATCTTGTTTTTTTTTTTTTTTAAAAATCTATTTATTTATTTGATATGTGTGTATATGTATGTATGCATACATGTTCCAGAGATCAAACTCAGCTTGTCAGGCTTAGCGGCAAGTACCCTTCCTCACTGAGCCATCACAGTGACCCCATGTTAGATCATTCTTGTCCCATAATGACAGCTGCTAAATTGGTCTCCCAAAGGCACTGGGGTAAACAGATAATGAAATTAAAAAAAGAATCAGGATTGCTGAGTTCCACATTCTGAAACCAAGCTAGTATGGGAGGAAAATGAGAAGCACTCCCCTCTGCCACAAGACATGTGGCCCAAATCCCACGGAACAACACATTTCCATCTGCCCGCCCCAAACCATTTCTCCTGTCTATTTGCTTTGTATGCTGTCAGAGCCTTGTTGAGGATAAAGGAAAAGGGAAGAATAAAAGAGCAGAGAAACGGTCCAATCGGTGAGCTCACCTTTCCGAGGAGTGACAGTGGAGGACAGCAGGGCAGGAGTGGAGTCGGTTGGAGAATTCAGCTTCTCATCACTGAAGGTGAAGCTGTTCCTGCAGAGCGAGTCTGCACCTTGAAGGAAGGAAGCCATATTCATCAGGGGCTGTCCTCACCAACACACACTTGCCAGTGTAGGTCCATAGTACCCAGAAGTGAATTTCCCAAAGAATCAGATGCTACAGGTATATATTAAAGAAAGCAAACCAGTTTCCCATCTAGGACCCCCAACGATCTAAGGCAGGGAAGTGTGTGTGTGTGTGTGTGTGTGTGTGTGTGTGTGTCTAGTACAGTGGCAACTCTTGTTCTTCTAAAAAAGTAGGATGGATCAATAGGCCCTGACCTCTGCTACACAGGAGTCTACTGGCCAGCTCTCAAGCCAGGTCCTGGCTGCTGGGATGAGGGTTGGAATATGATGTAGCTTAGTTGGCGGGGTGCTTATCCAAAAGGCATGAATCCCCAGCACCACATAAATTAGGCACAGTGGTGAAAGACTAGGAGTTAGACAGACTCCCTGGTAGGCAGACGAATAGGCAGAGGGCTCACGGTTAGGTAACAAAGGTGATGAACTTCCAAGATGGCTGGCTTCTTCCTCAGCCTCCTGGCTTGAGACAAAAACCTGGCAGCTTAAACCAGAAGGCCCTGCAGGCTTGTCTCCCACTGGCAGGCACCCTGCTGGACTGGCTCAACAAGTTCAAGGCTGGATCACGACCTGTTACCCAAGAGTTGTGGGCCAATCCACCATTCTATCTTTCTTCAAACTGACCAACCCAAAATCAGGGGAGGAAAACTCCGCAGAGTGTTAAAAAACAAACAAACAAACAAACAAACAAAAAACCCAGCCCTCAGGAAGAGACTGAATTTTGGGGCTTCTGCTTTAGAGAGGGTCTTTTCTAGCTGTGTGTCTGCTGCCTGTGTGTTCCCCCACCTCCAGGGACCACCATTTTTCAACTGCTAACTCCGTCTGCTCTGGTCTCAGATCTCTACACCATTCCTGTCGCACACGAGATTTTTTTCCCCTGCCTTTTGATTCTTTAACTGGCAGAGAAAACAAACCCGAGCAAGACCCCTGGACTGTACCAGGGGCACACCAGTTAGGAGTACACCAGTTATCCCAGTGCTCTGGAGGTAGAAACAAGGGGATATCCTCAGCTACATACTGAGTTTGAGGCCATCCTGACACCTGGAATACATAAGACTCTTGTCTTCAATAAAGAAAAAGGCATGTGGATGAGGGTGGGGGTGGGGGCGGGCAGGGGAGATCAGAGATGACTCAACAGTAAGAGCCAGCTGCTTTTCCAGAGGACATGAGTTCAGTTCCCACCTAGCAGCTCACAACAATCTGTAACTACAGTTCTAGGGATCGAATGCCCTTTTCTGGCCTCCATGGGCACCAGGCACACAAGTTGTGCACAGATGTGCACACAGGCAAAACACACACACACACACACACACACACACACACAAATCAAATTTAAACGCTCAAAATACAGCATTTTTTTTTTTTCATGAAAAATGTTCTCTTCCTTCTAAACACCTTTCAAATATAAACACAATGTTGGGCCCATGTCTAATAACTTTTTTCCTTCCCTGCTCGTAAAGTCTTGATCACACAGTTCCTCAAGATTCTGAACGCTTCTTGTCTCTGAGAGACAGGAGTCAGAAACAAAGATTGTTTTTGTTCTTGGCTGTTCGTCCATTACAATCAAGGGACAGCACAGCTTCTTCTGTTCTTACGCCCCAAATGTCAGAGCAGCAGGCAAAGTCCCAGCCAGGCGGGGCTGCGCCAGGGCCAGCAACAGCTCAGCGACTGAGTGTTCAAGGGTGCTTAAAAGAAACCATATTCTGGGCCTCTGTTTATCTCAATAAGACAGAAAGGTGGACTGGACAATCGTTCCAATTCCTCCCTGTTCTGAGATTTTGAGTCCTGCCGAGGAGGAAGGAGCCAGCCCTGCAGAGAGCTAACATGAGGCTCAGAGAGAGAGAGAGGTTAACGGAAGCAGGATGTGGTCCCTGAGGTGGTTAAAATGGAAAGCAAAGCCAGCCAGGGTGCAGGAGGAGCTCAGGAAAGGCCCTTCAGGTGAGCAGCTGAATAATGAGGGCCTGGCCCGGTCCCTGCTCCCCCTGGAAGGCTCCTGTCCTTCAAGCCATTTCCCTTTAATTTAGGGAGAAGAAAAACATCTTGCTTTAGTGCCATTAACTCCAAATGAACTTTTTTATAGATTATTTTTTTACAGAATAAAAGGAAATCGGGTTTCCGAAAGACGTTTCTAGTCATGTGAGAATTGTTCTCTATCCCTAAAAGGCTGCCACATCTCAAGTTACCTTGTCAGGCTCCGCTTCCTCTGCCTTCTGACCAAAGTGATCCAGCTGCCCTCTTGTCATCTTTTCTGGCCTAAATGCCCACCTAGCCCACTTTTTCAAACATGCCCAGAAGATCCTTAATGAGAGCCTCACAGTCTTTCCTTCCTTCCTTCAAGAGTTCCAGTCCAGGTCACCTTAAAGAACTACAGTGATTTTTCAGGGCTTTGATGAGGTCCTCAACGCTGAACCTTAAACCCATACTTCTCCTCCAAAAATATCCTAACTCAGACCCACCGGCCCCTAGAATGCTGGTCCTTAAAATATGTGGCCAGCTATGTTCCAGCAACACCAAGAACACCATTGATCACTCCCACTGTGACTGCCCTGTCTTGTGATGAAGAAACAGGTCTGGCCTCAGCCCTACCTCCCAAGTGTACTTGACCAAGGGACACTCCGTGGCCCTCCTGTCGATATCTCTTAGGACGCTGGAACTCTCTAGAGCTTGGCTTGGAAGCCCTTCTGCTTTTTTTTTTTTTCCAGCCAAGTCCGCCTGCAGAATAACAGTAGCAGCAGCAGTGCCCTGCACGCAGAAAAGTACGCCACGCATAACTGTTACAGCCCCCCAGAGAAGCGCCACTGTTTACCACTGTCACTAACCAGGGAGGCTCGCCACTGACACAGACTGAGAAACGTATGGAGAGAAGATAGAATCATCTTCAGGGGAAAGAAAACCACAGAGAGACCCAGGGGAGCAGGCTAGGAGCCAGGAGGGAATACCAAAGCCCTTGGCACCTTATCCTTGTCTCTGAAAGACATCCAAAATGATCGTCCTATCATCAGAGCAGAGTTGCAGCTCTGAGACTCGCCGGTCTGGAGCTTAAAGGTCTCCCCGCTCTCTATCTCTCAGAACAGCTGGCACTTAAGAGCCAGCCGCTTTCAATGCCACACCTCCTTCCACCCCACCCTGACTACACCACGGTCCCTAACTCTGAACTTCATTTCTGTTCCGCTCCAAATCTCCAGAACATTTACATCCACATATAATCATGCTTCAGGATTAGGGATGGGGACATACCAGGTTGGTTCACCTTCTAAGCAATCGGACCAACTATTTATTGCCGGCTGCTTAAAGAAGCAATAGCTTCAACATGGAAAAGGCCATTACAAACGAGAATGACAGAGAAAAGAATATCCAAAGTGAAGGAGAGCTCAAGGCAGACAGCAAGGAGAGGCTGTGGGGAGGAAGCCACAGGCTCAGGGGACCATCCTGGCTTGCCTTTGAGCCTTCAAAATCTAATCCATATGATAAATTTCTTAACTCAAGCATTTTTCTCAAGGTCAGAAAATATAGACAGAATCCAGTTTTTACATGACGAATAAATTCAGTAAGGCAGACTGTTCCATGAGTAGTTGCCTCATTGCTAATGAACTCACAGTGCTCTCACAACTGCTTTCACAAAAAGGGGATAAAATAAAGCATCTATATAAACATACAGACACAGAGGCAGGTTGCCATAACCTGTGCTCACTTCCTTTCTCCCGGCTCCCCCACCACACACACACTCACACACACACATACACACAATCTCACATCCTGTCAGTTCATTACCACACCATGGTTCTACCCTCTTTCTATGTCTTCACCCACCCTAGGCCAACTCCAGCCTCTAGTCTGCTTGACTCCAAGTCGCTGAAGCTATGCCACTGTGGAGACGGCAGGGGAGAAGAAGCAGTTACAACCTAGGTGTTCTGTTCCAACCTAGGTTTCACGCTGTGGCTTCAAAAGGATTTAATTTTCGAGTTCCTAGCAAAATGAAGAACAGCAAGCCCAGGAAGATGGGCATTATCATTGAGCCCAAAAAGAATCAAGAGATTTTGAGCCCTGGCTTCCTGCTGTTTTCGGATTGTAATAACTTTTTTTTTTTTAAGTTTCCCTTCAGAGGTAAGCAAGAACAAACCCACAACACAGAGATACCCAAACTCTGAACTTTTTTACCCAGTATTTGCCCTCCACAGGCTTCTACTAAGAGCCCGCGTGAACAGAATCGCACACTGGAGGCAGATGAAGAGGTAAGCAAGGCCCAAGCTCCTCTTCTGTTCACTCTCTTAGAACTCTAGTTCTTGTAATAATAATATTCAGCCAGGCTGATAAAATGACAGCAGCGTGTCTCTGGCTGATAGTACATACATGATTGCTGCCCCTCCCTGCTGTCTGGGGTTGTTATTAATTGTTGATCAAGAAACTCAGCAGTGATGGTTTGGAACCATTATGTGTGGTAGAATACACCTTAAAACATCTACTTTAGACTGCTTCGAAGGCCCATCTCACTTGTACCAAATTCCCACTACAAATGTCCTTTAGATTCCTGGTCCCTTTAATGAACTGAAGTCTCAAGATTCTGAGACTGAGTCTAAGGGAGCATCAAAAGAAACAAAAGCATATTACATACACAAACCTCTAAATTTAGGCATACCTAGCAAGTGTACAAAACTCCATAGCACAAACAGAAGCTTTGTTTAAAAGAAAGGCATAGATACATACATTTTTTAAATTTTAGTTTGGGGGGTTGGGAGGAAGGTAATTTAGGGTTAGAGTTAGCATGTGCTACTCCAGAGAAGAGTAAAACCACAGACCCTGAGCCTTGCCCAGAGCGCCTGTAAATATAGAACAATCCCACACATCTACAGCCAGCGAACTATAGTAATTAACCAAGAAAAAGAAAGCCCTGTGTCTGTGTCACTGTTCCCATAGGGAAAGGCAGAGATGTGGGGTCTTTCTTTTCCTCCAGTTCTAAGTTATGACAGTCTCAGTGAAGTGTGGCACAGCGAGAAAGTCCCAGGTTTTTGTTTGATCATTGTGGCCCAGCTCCCCTCTGGAATGTCCCCGACCCTCTGAGATAGTTTGCCAGGTATTGGAATATAAGACCTGTTGCTCACTCAGTTCCTAATGTGGTACTAGGTGTCCAGAGGGCCTCTACCTGGCCTCATCCACCCACATCTCAACAAGTTCAAGCTCCTGGCTCCTCAGTTCAATTAGCCACTAGCTTGGTAACTATCATTTTGGTTTCTGGGGTCCCTAAGTTCTCCTCTCTCAGGGCCAGATCAGACCATTCTAAACAGAAATATGTAGATATTCTTAGTCTCGATACACTAAAAAACCCATCTTATTGTTCGTCCTAAATACCTACAACACCATCATAGCCACAGCAAGCACAGTAGACTCCAGACCTCTCCTATTAAACAGCAGAACACTTCCCCTCTCAAGGGGAAAGTTTATGTGAAACCCCAATATTTAAGAAACACACGTGGTTTCATCTCTTAAAGCTTAAGTCAATATAATAAACTGTTTATAAAGTCAACCAGTACAAGCATAAAGTGGGTTAAAATTTTATTAAACCCACTTAAGGACTCATGCTGTACTTTCAAAGTAAAAATCACTGAAAGAGCTGGGTCTACCAAAGCACGCCTTTAATCCCAGCACTCAGGAGGCAGAAGCAGGAGGATCTCTGTGAGCCTAAGGCCAGCCTGCTTTACATAGTGAGTTCTCAGACAGCCAGAGCTACATAAGACCCTGTCTGGAAAGAAGGTAAATAAATAATATATACAGATAGATAGATGATAGATAGATAGATAGATAGATAGATAGATAACCTGTCTGTGCTCTGTTACTTTATCAACAAAATTAATGAAGATAAAAGTGCCTAGCAAGTAGGACTGTGTAAAGATTATGTGTGATAACATTCAGAGGACAGCAAGAGATGACTGATAACAAGAGCTAACAAGTTATGCTCATAGCAACCCTAGTGAGGACTTGGTAAAAGTAAGCTAGCTGCTGCTGCTGCCATATAGACCCTGTTGGCCTCTCTGGAGAGCTAAGTTTCAGTGGGTTGAGCCTCTGCCAGGCATTCTCTCCCAAACAGATAAGTACATATAACAAATGCCTGCGCTCCAGTCCTGGACACCAGTTAAAACACACACTGTGTGTCCTTAAAAAAGCATTAAGATATACACAAATCCCCACCAAGACTATTTCTAAGCAGTTGTGCGGGGAATACGCTACACTGACAGCAGAGGCCAAGGTCAGCTGCGCTCTCTCAGACCCTTCCCATTGCTTCTCTAACAGCCAAACCAAAAGCTTAAGTTAATGACAAAAGCAGAGATGGAAGTACGCAGAGATGTACCTTAAGAAAAACTACAAATCCTGTTAACCATCTCCCAAACCTATCTCCCAAGAATGTCTCTTCTGCATCCCCCCTTTAATTCAGCCAAAGGCAGTCCTTGGCCGCAAAGCAGCAGTGGCAGACTCAGCCTTCTCCTCAGTGGAGGAGAGAATTTATCCATGATGAGTAACTTGTTCCTGTACCCAGTGGAAGAAGATACATCCAAGTTGCGCCACAGTCATAAAGACAAATTTAAGGCTTCACTTGAATGCTGAGAATAAGCTACCAGGCCATTAGCATCAAAACGCAAAAGGTCTGAATGGGAATGAACTGCTCACCCGCCCCTCTTCCAACCCCCTCCCTAAGTCACGTGGTGGTCTACCCAAGCTGCTGAGGAAAATCAAACTGGAGCTCAGATTTCTGACTCAAGTCCTGACCAGAATGTCAGGTTATCATCGTTGTCAGGAAAGGACGCTCTACCTTCTCGGGAGCACGGCTCAGGTCTCACACTGAATCTTCCTTCATTCACTAACAAGGAAGAACTGTCTAGACTTCAAAACAATAACATGTCTTTTACTCCCAGAATCAGGGACAGCACAGCTGGCGATGTCTGAGCCTGTAGCCTGTCTTAGGGACTAAGTGCTCATGAACAAACTGAATTTAAAGCTCACATTGAAAAGCTGTGAATATTCAAGCCGGGATTTGAAAACAGTTGTGTAATAAGAAAAGTCAGGTGTTGTGGACAGAGGTATTGTGGAAAAGGTTATCAGGATGAACCTTTACAGGCAACCTGGAGGGTGGGCCTGCCTGAAACCCTGTACTTGAACTCAGCAGCCCAGAGGGGGTTGTTTCAAAACTGCCCGGAGGTCAGCAGCAAGTGAACGAAGTTATTTCAAAAATGCTAAAAACAGCAGCTTATGAAATCATTTTGGTTTCACAAATGTTTCATTATTGTGCTCACCCGTGTCCCCAAGTCCCCCAACACCCATTCTGGAAAAGGAAAGGGAGCCGGAGCCTGCTGTTCGTTTACTGTCTGACTAGCATTCAAGAAGCCCTACCTCTGCTCCCCTCCCCGCCCACCCATCCGGCGCTGCCTAAACTAAATGTGGCGGCACTCCACTCTAATTCCAGCGCCCTGAAGCCCAAGGAAGGAGGATCAGGGGTTTGAGGTCATCCTCAGCTACAGAGATGGTCCCAGGAGGATCTCAATAAAATAAAAAATGAAGAGCAGGGAGAAAGGTGGGAAAACTGTTGGAAGGCCTGGCCGGGCTTCCGGGAGTTCTGGCTGGCTGCACCAACCCTCCGGGCCTCATGACACACACCTGCCGTGAAGGTAGACCCACAGTCCTCCAAGATTCCCCAGCAGGATGGCCTTCATGGCTCCAGCACACCCGGGCATTCAGTCTCAGAAAGACGACTCTCCAGGCACCCCGGAGGAGGTGCAGATCCTCCGGCCCTCGACCCCTCTGGCCCTCGACCCCGTGCCTCAGTTTACAGATCTACGGATAACCCGGCTGACCCTAGAGCTCCCGGGGGGGGGGGGGGGAGGAGGGAAGGGCACCGACTCCCACGGGGCTTGACTTACTCTCGGAGTCGCTGAAGCCGCTGCTGTCACTGACGCTGGCGCTGCTGCGCCGCTTCATGCGCTCCAGGTGCTCCTCGTAGTGGAAGTGGCGCTCGTGGAAGGGCGACGCGAAGTCGGCCAGCACGGCGTCGAACTCGCAAAGCACGTCCGTCAGGTCTGCGGCGGCCGCGGAGTCCATGGCCGGGGCTGGGGATGGGGGTGGGGGGCACAGGGCGCTCAGTGGCTGGGAGAGGGGCGTGGGGTGGGGGCAGGGCATCAGGAGGCGCGACCACCTCTCCCCAGGATGGCTCACTCCATCCCTTGACCTCTTAGTCACCCTCCGGGGCAAAGCGCCCGCCCACAGACGCGGACGAGACAGGCGGCCTCCGTGGGTGGAGAAGTCACCTCGCCCACCCCACGCGCTTCCCCCCTGGTGCCCACGCTCGCTCCCTGGAGCGCGTGGCGGCGGGAAGTCTGAGTCACGAGCACCCGTTACGTGTCAGACTCCGGTCCCTTGTCCCGCGTGGGAGCCTAAACTCGCCTCGGACGAGGGGGTCCGGGGATGGGGTGGCCAGGGTGATGGATGGAGAGGGAGGGTGGGCGGGGGGAAGGGACCATCGCGACCCCTATCCGCTTGCCCCAACCTGCAGGCTCGGGCTCTCGGGGCGGGGGGGTGTCTGTAGCTTAGCGTGGACGCGGTTCCTGGGTTCGATCCCTGGGCGCAGCGGCGAAGGGGGCGCCCCCAAACCGGCACTCACCTGCGGCCGCGGCCGCCGCGGGGCTGCTCTGCGCCGAGGGCGGCTTCATGGGACGGCTGCTCGACGACACGCGTGGGGGGGGATGCTGCGAGCTGCGGGCCCCGGTGGCTGCTGCCTTCGCTCCTGGCCGAGCCTGAGAGCCAGCTCCTCGCCTGCGCCGCCACCCGCCGGCTGCGCCGTCTTGTAGGCACGGTCAGGGGCGGGGCGGGGCGGGGCGGGGCGGCTGAGTCAGTCCCAGACGACCTAGGGGACGCCCCTGTCCCCCCCCGCCGTGACCCCCGCCGCCGCCCTCGCCACGCGCCCGCCGCCGGAGAACCGCAGTGACGACTTGTGTCGCTGGGGCCCAGGTTACCGCCCCAAATATTTATCCGCCGCTCTCTCCGCCACCCTGACAACCCGGCCCACGGAAGTGCTTGGCCGGCACCACAGCCCTCCAAGAAGTCTCTACCCTGCTTCCCGCCTTCCGGCCCAGCCTCCTGGAGCCTCAGTTTCCTCATCTGCGAGACGGAACTGCAAACGCAGAGCCTCCTTGCTTGCTGCAAAAAATTACAGGAGCCCGGGGCCTCAGCAGGCCAGAGTCCCCACCTGATTTTCTCAAGGACAGCTGAGGGCCGTGGGCCGAGGTGATCTCAGAGCGCCTGGATGGATGCATTCTACACAGGGTCCGCATGAACGAGCTATCCGTCCACCTAGCGCAGCCCAGGGTAATTCCTGCCTCGGGTAGCCATTTAGAAGGAAAATGAGGCCTGCCGGTGGCCTGCGCCTACAGTCCGAGCCCTAACGAGGATGGTAATAGGGGAGGCCGAGGCAAAAGGATGGAGCTTAGAGGACCTCAGTGTGTGAACTACTCAGCGGGATCCTGTCTGAAAGGTGTTTATTGTGGAGCATGAAGACCTGAGCTCCGGACCCCAAACCACACTAAAATAAAAAGAGCCTGGATGGCCACTCACTCAAAATCCCAGCCTTGAGACCCAGAGGCTGATAAATCCCCGGGGCTTCCCCCGACTCCCAGCCCAAAGTGAAAAACAAGGCAATGAAAAGCCTTTTCTTAAAAAAAAAAAAAAAAATCGAGTGGGCAGTGCCCAAAAAATCAGTCACATTTGAGGCTGACTTCTGGCCTTGGCAGGCACAACATCTACCTGTGCCACACACGCACGCGCGCGCGCGCGCGCACACACACACACACACACAATTAATGAAATGTAAAGTAAGGGGCTAGTGGCATCAGGGAATCTGATTGAGTGATAAAGTGCTTGCCTAGCACGGGTGAGCCCTGGGTTGGAGGGATCATCCTCCGAACCGCAAATTTTAAAGATCTTTATAAGTGAATCAACACTAGACACTTCCAAGTGATCGATGGCCATCGCCACAGAGTCTTCCCCTGGTGACTCCAACCCTTGTAGGTGTCGGGATGTGGCGTGCACCGGGTCTCCTCCCCGCCCCCACAGCCACCTTGGGCGGTATAATCACTGCAGGTGAGAAAACTGAGGCACAGGCAGCCGAGCAGCCAGCCTGAGGTTTCATGGGAGGCTGCAGGTCTGTCTCTGTTCAGAGCCACTCTGAGGTTAGCCACACCCTACTTCCCTCGTGTGGAGAAGAACTGAGCAGTCCTGGGGAGGCCCTAAGCCCCAGAACAGACAACCCAGGTCCCAGAAGCCTCAGGCAAGGTACCTCCTTCCCTCCCCCATCTGCCCTCGCCCCACCCCCTTTCTTCTCTCTCCTGAAGCACTGTTTCTGATTTGCCCACGGCACCCACTGCTCATGCCCTGAGCTTAAAGCAGCAGCCAGCCTGAGAGCTGCAGCCAAACTTGCCAATTTACAAATTCGTTGGGTGCTTGGAGCACAGTTGCTGTTGTTTTGTTTTTGTCCACCGCCCGTCTGGTGGGCAATTGGGCTGCTCCCAGCCCCTTCTTGTACACATGTTAGTGCCCATGTGTTGATCTTAATTTCTTCCCTAGAACCAGGTAAAGGTTTAAACCCTTAATCCCCAGGGCTGACCTCCACATCCTATCCTAGGGTCTTTTATGGCCCCCAGCCACCTGTGACTGGGTGACAGGTGACAGTGGTGACAGAGATAGTAAATGACCTCAGTGTTCAGGTGTGACCTGGTCCCTCAGGAGGGGTGGGCCGATATACCCTTCACCTCCTCACACTGAGATCACTGCTTACAATGGCCTCAAGAAAAAGACTTGAGGTCTCCTTTGGTTTGCTGTAGACACTGGTAAACAAGTCTCCCCCTTGGTCCCGCTTTGCTGTCCTGTAACAAAATATCACAGGCTGGGTAATGTGCGCATCACAGAAATGTCTCCCTCGCTCTTCTGAAGGCTAGGGGGCACAAGGTCAGGACCCCAGCGCTGTCGGGTGAGGGCTTGCTGATTCCTCCTCAGGTAACACAAGGAAGGAGAGAGAATGAACTGCCCCCACAACAAGCCCTGTGACACTCCCTGATAGTCCCTGATCCATCCTCGAAGGCTCTAATCTGACGACAGCCAGTTCAGAAAGACCCCGCTGTTTGACAGGATCAAATTTGCAATTAGATCGCAATGTTCAGACTTCACCCCACTCAGACACACTCAGACCAGTAGCCACCTCTTTTCTGCACACTCTGGGCGCTCTTTTCTTGTCCAGAGCATCACCTCAGAGCCTCATCTTTCCGCATCCCCCAGATTATCATGGCTGAACTCCGGCTCCCTACCTGTCTTCCTTAGACCCTTTGTTCTTGCTCTTCACTTTCTCTCAGCCATCTCGCCCTCCTCCCTGGAAATGTATAACTGAAATTCATTCACTTAGCATTTTTTTTTTTTTTTTTTTTTACTTTTAGAACTGATCCCCACCCCCAAATGTCTTATATGCAATTACCTGTAGGACTTCTGTACTTTTTATTCCTCCACAAAAACTCTATGGTAGGAACTTCTAGTTAAATCTGTAAATAAACAGGTGGACTCATGTATTCCTGAAATAGTTTATTCCCAGTCTACCGTAAGTTAAAATTGGTGATGTGACTAAATCCTGGACAGCAGACAGAGATGCCCTGTGTGGCCTCCTGGGTAAGTGCTCCTCACTTCGCTTTCTCTTCCTGGATGATATGCAGCCATGAAGCTGGGTTTGGGCCATGAGGGAGAGGTCACTTCCCCAGAATGCCAGCAGAAGCATAAAAACGTCTCAGGTTTCTGATGTCATAAAGCAGCTATGTCAACCAACCCTGGGTAACCAACATCTACAGGAGACAAAAATAAAGTAAAACGTCAGAGGCAGAAGATGTAGCTCAGTGGACAGTCATGTGCTTGGCACACGTGAGGTTTTGGGTTCAAGCCTCAAAAGCACCGAAAATAAATAAGTAAACCAAATTAGCCATTTTGTGTAAGCTCCTGTAGGGGAGGGGTATGTTTTGATCTTTACAATTGAACTTTAGTCTTAATGCCTCCAGTGTCAAATCAGTATCACCCGGAGCCGCCTCAGTTCTGGTGCTGTAAGTCTAAGGGACAGACTCTCCTTCCTTAGGCTAGCTTGAGTCACAATTCAGTATCTGTCCATAGCTAAGCTGCTGGGTGACTCAGAACAACAAACTTGTATTCTCTCCCAGAGCGCTCAAGACTGGAAGTCTGCAGTCATGTGCAGGCTGGGCTGGCTTCCTCTGAAGGTCCTCAGGGAGGTTCTGCTCCACACCTCTGCTTGGTTCCTGGGGGTGTGCAGGCTATCCTTGGTGTCTCATGCTTGTCACACGTGAGGTCCTGGGTTCGAGCCTCAAAAACACTTTGATTGTCACATGCTATCCCCTGTATGTCTGCTTGGGTCTCTTCTTTTAAGGGTAGCAACTGCTGCCTTATATGAATTAGGTCTGCCCTAACTTATGATGATCTCACCCTAATTCCATCCTGTCTCCAAAGAAAGACCCTATTTCCAAGTAGATGGTATCCATAGGTACTGGAGCAAATCTGAAAGTATGACACAATTTAACCCATGCCAGTTACCTAAACCCCCTTAATGAAGATCATATTAATGAAGATATGGCGTCAAGACTTGATGTAAAGCTATGATAATGAAAAGTGGTTTGAGATGTAGCTTAGTGGCAGAGTGCTTGCACAAGTCCCAGCACCAGAGGAAAGAAGAAAAGATGAATCTGGCAAAGGATGGTAGTACTGGAGGCTGAGGCAGGAGGATTATTATCAGTTCAAGGCCTGCTTGGGTACTGGCCTTGAAACCAGTAGGACTATGTTTTAAAATGAAAGAGTAAGCAAGTGAACCAAGAAAAGAGAATAGTCTCCCAAGATGGATACAAACATGTTTGGCAAATTGGCTTCTAAGAAGTATCAACACAATGAGAAAAGTTCTTTCAACAATGGTACTGGGATAACTATCCACCACAGAACAGACTCCAAAAAAATTATAGAATATAGACCTAAGTGGATGGGCTAAAACTATTGTGGTTTCAGAAGGACACAGAAAAATATCCTCATGACTCAGGGAAGAGGAAGGATGATTTCAGACAAAGTGTAAAAACAACTTTTCCTTTCTTTGTTATTCAGTACTGGGGATCGAACCTAGACTCTCATGCATGGTAGGATAGTGTTCTTCCACTGAGCTATTTCTTCAGCTGTCTTGACCTAAACAGGCTGTCCCTTTATAGTGTAGGCTGGCTTGGAATATTCCAGCCTTCTGCCTCTGCTCTCCAAGTGGCTGGGATTATATGGAAGGCACTATTTTTTTTTAATTGTGAGATCAGACCTCATAAAATTAACAATGTTTATTGAGCAAAGACACATGACAAAAAAAAGTAAGCTAGAAGAAACCCCTCCCCACATACATACATAGGCATTGCGTGTATATGACAATTTGTTTTTTAAAACATAGAACCACCTCCTACAAATTAATAATAAAATAACAACCTGACAAGAATGTAAAGGGCAAGACACTCGAAGATACACCTCACAAAGGGAGAGATGTAAATGGCTAATGAGCACATACGGTCTTCTCATGGGTTAGCAACTCTCCCACAAGTAAAATGAAACAATGTAAGAATAAGTTTTTATTTGTAATAGCCCCATCTACTAACAGCCTGAACATCTATCCTTCAAAGGCATGAACACAGAAACAAGGTATACCACAGAACACCACTCAGCAGCACGATGCTATAACAGTGGGAAGTGCTGTAGTAGAAAACAACC